ATCTGAAGCTTTATTTCACTGCAGAATCTTCTGAGGCTCTCAGACAGTTTTCTTCTGCTTAATAGAACAAAACATTTCATTATGAGGGAAGACTGAGAGACAGGAAGCGCACACACACACACACACACACACACACACACACACACGCACACACGCACAAACACACACACAAGAACAATCCGTTCATACTCACACAATAAAATAAATAAATGTACAATCAAAATTGCAATTACCTGCAGAATTTGTGAAGGGTAAACAAATCTGTGCCTCCCCTCTTCCACCTCCGCCGCTCGCTCTCTCGCTGCACACACACACGCACACGCACACGCACACACACACACACACACACACACACACACACACACACACACACACACACACACACACAACACGTCTAGCACACACGCCGAAGCAGAGAGAGGCGTTAGCGTTCTAGTTAGCATGCTGAAATGAATACAGTTAGATCCAAAGCAATTTCCTTTTATTTATCTTAGCAGCCACGCATAAATAAAGGCAAGGGCATCCAGGCAATTAGCATAATTACTATGAGGCGGTCAGACCCTCTGTGATTTCATAAAGACACACACACAGACACACGCACACGCACACGCACACACACGCACACACACACAAAGAGGCTGCAGGGTGTGTGTTTTAGAGGAGAAGAGATACAGACAATGACTCTATGAGTGTGTGTGTGTGTGTGTGTGTGTGTGTGTGTGTGTCTGTGTGCGTGTGTGTGGTGTATGACTTCTGCTGTGTCCATTCGTTCCACCTTGTGTATGTGAGTTAGCATGTTTGTTCGTATGGCTTCTTCATTTCCTGCATGTTTGTGTTTGTGCCGTCCTTGGTCTGTCTGCCACACAAACACACACACACACACACACGCACACACACACACGCAAACATACACACATGTGGTCACACAGACTCTCAAAATAAGACAAAAACATGAGCGCACACACACTCACAGAGACACACAAACAGAGCAGTCTGAGGTCCCGGTGTGTCAGTGTGTGTTATTAATATGCAAATACTCGTGAAAAACAACAAAGGGCAGCAGAAACAATCTCCCCGCTAACAGGCCCAGGTCACTCCATACTGGCTTTACTGGTTTTATTGCTTCCTCTACATTTCTCTCACTGTTTCTGATCATTCAGGCTTTTTTTTTCATCCTCCTGCACGACCAAAAAATTATTGTTTTAGCCAGCCTCCTCGTATTTATTCTGCAGAAAGTCAGAGTGAGCTGATGTGAGAACACAGCAGGATATAATCAGGAGAATTCACCTGGAGCGAGTGGGAGGGGGTGGTGACGTTTATTCCCTGTGATCGCTGCACGACCATAGACTGTCTGCACGCCACCTCTACCATCTCCGTGCTCTAATGAACCTGCTGCTGCATGTTTCCTGTTCTCCAGTATGTTCTTCTCCACTCTTTAGTTCAGATTGAGATTCTGTTCAACTACACGCAGCATTGATAGAAAGACAGATATTGAGGGCTCTGCTACTTCCATCAGCCGTCTTAGTTCAGTAGACCCCCCTCAGATTACAAGAAGTTTCCTTTAAGGTCGAAAGAAGCAACTTGAAGTTTCCAGGTGTTTTTGTGTTTTCCTGTAACTAGAACGTTCTTAAAGCTCGTACAGAAAATGTCAGCGGCCGAGGGCTGAGTGTTATTTTCTGAGTGTTACACCGACCTTTGTGCATCTTCCAACCTTTCCACTGACCTTTTGAGACCCTCGTCGACCTTGTTCATGACTCCCGGTGTAAACCGAAAGGGGCAGAAAAGACAAACAGTCGGCAGAGAGCAGTGTTTGTGGTTTGAGCGCCGTGCTCTGAGTTTCTGCTCCAATAATCGGAGGCCTGTTTAACCTCTGGGAGGCAACCTGGGACTTACCAAAGCAGCCAGCAAGGTTATGTTTGTTTACTGCACATCCATGTCTGTGTGAGAGAGAGAGAGAGAGTTTACATCAGCCTCATATCAGCATAATTTACCCACACAAACACACGCACACACACGCACACACACGCACACACAGGTCCACCTTTCAACTCTCTTTCCGATTCTAATTAATCCGTTTTAATCCCTCTGAAACGGGCAGATTTTCTTCCCCTCACCTGGAGCAGCTTGTTCCTAAACCTGAACCTCAATCAGACCTGATGATAAAACTATGAAAAAAAAGAAAAGAAAAAGAAAAGCACAGATTGTGATTATCTGCACATCTCAGCCTCTTTCCTCCGCTCTGTGTGTTGGGACTTTAGAGGGGAAGACGTAATCCTCGACCTGCAGAGGATTAGGAGCTCTGTGGCGTTTTCTTTTTCAAGAACAAGTTGGAGAAAATAGAAACAATTGGTTTGTTAACGTCGTAAGACGGGTCAACATCATGCAGTTTCTCCAAATCAACCCCCTCTTAAGGCAAGACAAGTTAAGAGACCCAAAAAGAAGCTTCATCTCAACTTTTCCATGTTAAAACTTTAGATTCAAAGTCGTTACAAGCGGCAACCTCCAGTGTTGAAAAATGACGCTGATGCTGAATCCTGCAGTTCCTCAAGTGTCCACTAGAGGCTGGCTGCAGAAGCACAGGAAGTCACATACACACCCATTCTAAAAAGCCTGTTTTTACAGCAGAGATTAACATGTTTACAGCCTGGTTCAAAAAACCTAATAGGTCTGATTAGCTCATGTCTCGCTCGACACACACTGTACGGGGGGGTGAATGTTTTGATGACTCGTCAGTTTTGATTTGATGAAGGATAAGAGTTATTCACAATAAGGCGTGTAGCTGACATGATTGACAGGTGGGCGCGGTGTAACGGTTTGTCAGGAGGCTTCAAACCCGTCTCAGCTCCAGCTCTCAGCCTGTTGTTAGGTTGACTGAAAGTTAGACTGAGACAGCTTTTCCAGCATGGAGACCGCCATCGATGGGACATCAGCGCCCCCTGCAGGAACACACAGGTGACGTCACTCAGGCTTCAAATGTTAACATTTACAGTCTATGAGTCGATCTAATAGAACAATAACTTCTAACAGGGAGAATGGTGTCTCTCTTGTGTCCACAGAGTGCCATGGTCACCTGTTTTCAGCACTATGTCACTTTGGCAGCGGGCCGTGGTCGTCTTGCAAGCGTCTTTACGGCGTTAGTTCACACAGCAGCCTTCAGCTACAAAGCAGCCAGGTAGCCTGTCTCTGTACTGTTTGATACGACGGCTGAGGCTAAGAGGAAGAGGACGGAGATGAAGGAAGATAAGAGAAGACAGAGAGAGAGAGAGAGAGAGAGAGAGAGAGAGAGAGAGTGTTAGGTGGGGTTTGTTTCTAATGTATAAATCTAATGAAGAAATCGTGAAACAGACTGGAGATTATAAGACCATTTAATCGGCCGAGGTCAGACAACTTCATCAAACAAGCATGCTTCCAAATCACTTGACTGACAAAGTGCTGACAAAGTAACAGTGTTCACAGTGCTGCTTATATTCTGTCAAAAAGGTGCAACCCCCAAATTCCTTTCTATTTGGGTGCATTACCATAAACAATGAACATGACATGACACTGATTTGTATACGTATCAGATTTAGACTCTCTGTCTAGCAAACAGTTGCTGACAACATATAGTTGGCTCCTCTCCATTTATAGATCTGCTACTACTTAGGTGCTTCACCCATATAAGGTTACAGCTTCAGACCTAAAGGTAGGAGTGTTAACACGTGGTAGGCAGACTTGTATAATACATTTCACGAAGTTACCAAGATGAATGAATTTCATGAAAATTCGTACTAACAGTGAGCAAGCAAGAACCAGAGTGAACATCCCTGCAGATATTATTCAGAACCGATTGAGACGTAACGTTAGCTTGTCACACAGTCGGACTGCGACCCGAGGACGCTGCTGACAGGAAGAGCGATATTGATCTTTCTGTGTTTTCTTTTTTGTTTCTGTTTACGAAGCTTTTCATCCCTCCTCCTGTCACATGCAGGAGAAAAGTCATACAATTCAGAAAGGATGCACACACACACACGCACACACACACACAGCAGGGAGCCACATGTAATTAACCTGCCTGACCTCCAGAGTATTAATGCCTTTGTTTGTGTGTGTGTGTTTAAATCAGCATATTGTGTTCAAGGACTCGAGTGTTCTGCAATGATCCTCACATAACGACAGCATTAGACACACTCACGTGTGTGTGTGTGTGTGTGTGTGTGTGTGTGTGTGTGTGTGTGTGTGTGTGTGTGTGTGTGTGTGTGTGTGTCTGAATCTCTGCTGAAGTCTCTGTTGGGTGTTCCGCCGTGATCTTCTCATAAATACACCATTAGACACACCTAGTCTGTGTGTGTGTGTGTGTGTGTGTGTGTGTGTGTGTGTGTGTGTGTGTGTGTGTGTGTGTGCCTGCAGAAAGACTTACCTGTCCCTGTATCTAATATTATAATACATCTCCTCTGTCTGACTGCAGTACTTTTGAAGGATACATCACGACAAGTGTCGTTGATCTCAGACTATTTCTTAAAAATTTCCAGTTCCAGTGATTTGAAGCCAGAACGGCCCCGTGACGGGCGCAGACGTTTTGTGCTGGTGATGTCATTTAGGACCAAGACATGCTCACATGGGCCTGTTGAGGCCATATATGGCAAAAGTTCACATGGGGCTCCTTCAAGGGGGACTCAAGAGGGAATCGACTCGGTCACCGCCAGCAGAGTTTGACGCAACAGAGCGTTCTGTTAGAAACGTCGTCAAAGAACAACCCCCATGGTGTAAAGCTAGCTCGGGGCTACGACAGAGGGCACTGTAATCTTGGAGGTTTCATACTGTCATTGCAAACTTTGCACCTTTTGAGCCACTGCTGTAAAGCTTGTCGGCCCTCGGGGGCCCCCTTACAGGTCTGGGGCCCCAAGCAGTTGCCTACCCTGCGTGTTGACCATCGTGGAAGTGATGTCACGCCCCCTTTGGGTAACCGTAGCAAACAAAAGACGATTTTTTTAACTTTGTGTTTCTCACCTCTTTGTTTTCAGTCTCTGGACGGGTTCGTATTTGCACTAAACAAGGAGGGACGCTTCCTGTACATCTCTGAGACCGTCTCCATCTACCTGGGACTGTCACAGGTAAGTCTTACACCTGTCTGTGTCACAGCTGTCTGTCTCACACCTGTCTGTCTCCATGTTCATGTGTACCAAAAATACTCCTCATAGTGGAGTTTGGGCTTCTTATTCAGTTTTTGCAAATTTCCAGTTTCTCTGCCTCTCTCTCTCTCTCTCTCTCTCTCTCTCTCTCTCTCTCTCTCTCTCTCTCTCTGCCACTCTCTCTCCCTCCCGCTCTCTCTCTCTCTCTCTCTGATCATTACCAAAGACAATTCCCAACAAATTAAGGCTCATTTCAAATCTCATCAGCTCGTCGGACGGTTGTTGATTTGTGCAGTGAGCGACGACGCATATTTTACTGCCGTGTGTGTGTGTGTGTGTGTGTGTGTGTGTGTGTGTGTGTGTGTGTGTGTGTGTGTGTGTGTGTGTGTGTGTGCGTGCGTGCGTGCGTGCGTGCGTGCGTGCGTGCGTGTGTGTGTGGTGCGTGTGTGTGTGTGTGTGTGTGTGTGTGTGTGTGTGTGTGTGTGTGACGGGGACACTTCATTGTACTTTGTCAGCTTGGTAACGAGTTTTGCGTCTCGATTGGTTCACTCTTCACCAGTTCCTGTTAATAGAGACAGGCGTCCATCCTGAAGGTCGACACATCGACCTTGGAGACGCTAATAAGTCAGTATTGACAAGCTCTGTGTGTGTGTAAGTGTGTGTGTGTGTGTGTGTGTGTGTGTGTGTAACTGATTCAGTCACATGTATCTGTTTACCTCACAGCTTCTGTCAGCTGTTTTACAAACCACAGGAAACAAGCTGCAGGGTCACACATGTGATGTTTCCAGCTTTCTATATCTGATGATTTTCTCCTTTTCTACATTTCAGACGTCTTTGTTTTTTTAAATGAAATACCTTTATCCGCCACTTGACCCAGACGAGTCATGAGCATTACTATACATACATTAAGTGCTGTGCATGTAAACTTATACTTGTCTTGTTGACTTGTTGTGCACACGTGAACGGACTTCAGCTCGTCTTCTGACCTTCAGAGCGCCTTAACTCTGCATGTCATATTCCACCATTCACACACACACACACACACACACACACACACACAGACAGAGAGACACACACACATTTAAACGATCGCAGTCACACATGTTAAGAATGTTCCTGAATATTTCCTGCTGCGTTCTCTCACCGGCTCCTCCCTGAGTATGGGGACAGTCCACAGCAGACCAGATTCTCATGTCGGTTTAAGGAGACACTAAAATTTAGCTTTGATTGATGTGTTTGCTGCTTTCAAGGAACTGCTTTCTCGTCTCAACATCTCACGTCTTGCTACTGAAGTTACTCGTCGGACTGTAAACAAAGACAGCGCTCATGAGAAGAGGAAGTTGTTTTGTCTGTAAGCGCTGGATACACCGGACGCCACAGAACTAAAACTGAGAGCAACTGAACCGCCTGATTATTGAGCAATAAAGACATGTTGCTCCTCAGGCTGTGTGATGTTCACTGATCTCCACTCGACTTTATCTGTGTGCTGAACATTGTTTACCTTCTGTGCCAAGTCATACATTAGAACCCCCCCCCCCCCCCCCATCCCCCCTCCTTCCATTAGTTTAATGTGAACTCTTGTCTCTGTGAATTAGAAACAGGAAGCTCTCAGATATGGCGGCGAGGGGGGAAAAAAAGGCCAATCAGTTTACAGAATTAAAGAGGAAGGCACATCTCACCCTCTCTCTCTCTTTCTGTCACTCTCTCTGTCTATCTCTCTCCATCCCCCCCCCCCCTCACCCCCCACACTACCCCTCCCCCTCCAAGATTGATTGATGATTTCTATCAAATAATTGATTAATTGTCAAATTGGGTCCCCGAAGCTTTTTCCGGCAGCTCCTCGGAGCTGGTTATCTTGTTCTTTGCGCTTTTATCAGCTGCAGAAGAAGAAGTGTCACGCCGATTAAAAAAAAGAAGAAGTGAGAGACAGAGAGAGAGAGAGAGGGGCGAGAGAGGGGGGAGATCGAGCTTGTCTTTGCCTTGTTCCAGTCTCACTCTGTAATCCTACATGTGTACACAGAGTTCGTCAACCTTCATCCTCTTAATTGCTCGCCCTTCCTCCTCTTCTCCTTTAATCACCGCTCGCCCCTCTCTCTCTTCACTTTTCCTCTTTTTTAAAGGAAGGGAAATATATCGCTAATTATTTTTCAACTTTAATTAGATCGTGGCGTGCAGAAAAATGGCTGGGTGGTGGCGAGGAGGTAGTGAGGGGGCTTTTATATATTTTTTTTAAGCCTTTTGACAAATTGACGAGGTTATGAATTCGCTCGCTCGGTGGCCGGCGCTGAAACAATCTGCAGGCAGATTTATGTGTGAGGAGGATTTGTCTGTTTAACTCGTTTCTTTACCGTCTCGTCGGGGGGGAAGACGGCGGACGTGGCCGGCCAATCAAACAGGCCGTTAATAGAGTCATTAACAAAGAGCGGAGCTGTAATTAAACACTGCTGCTGAGTTAAGTCAAAGTCCCCCCTCCCCCTTTTTCGCTCCCTCTTTTTCACTCCACTCCAACACACTCTCCTCTCTCTCTCTCTGCGTTTTTAAATCTTAATTCTTGGCAGTAAAAAGTTGACGAGCTGCGGTTTGTTACGTCTGTCCGTCGCTGAGTTTAATCACGTCTTTATAGAAAACATCAAGAGCACACGGCACTTTAAAAAGTCAACAATTACTCGTATTAAATGTAGACACGTGAGACATGTTTCTGTCAAAGAGATGACCAGAGAAGCTCTGCAAAGACTGAGTTTAAAGATCATCCAGGTCTGCACTCCCTCCCGCCCACTACGATTTGCCAATGAAAGGCGTCTGATCCAACCTTCACAACAGGGTCCTAAGTCTCTGACTAGACTCTTCTCCTCTGTCGCCCCCCGGTGGTGGAACGAACTACCAAACTCCATTCGATCTGCAGAGTCCCTCTGTACCTTTAAGGAAAAGCTAAAGACCCAGCACTGCCTATTCATTTGTTCACTTCCTGTCAGCACCTGTGCTCTGCCTCTGGTCACGACCTGTGAGCAGGATTATGTTGCTGTCGTTACAGCCTGTTTCACCGCTGCAGGCTGAAGAAACGTTCTGGAGGAATTCTTTGTGGTCATTTAGATCGAAGCAGCCCAGGTTTTAAAATGCTGGGACGATGCTTTATTCTGCATCAAACAGAGATGATAACATACTTTGTGTTGTTGTCTGTGGCGGCACAGCAGGAAAATCTGTCACTCTGTAACACCCTGTCGATCCAACAACACAGAGCCGTGTGTGTGTGTGTGTGTGTGTGTGTGTGTGTGTGTGTGTGTGTGTGTGTGTGTGTGTGTGTTATCATGTCCCTATAAACGTTTTTGTGTGTTTGCATGTGTGTGCGTCTGTTTATGAGACCTGCAGGCAAAGCTTGCAGATGCCCTCACAGTGATCTAATTGAGATGTGTGTGTGTGTGTGTGTGTGTGTGTGTGTGTGTGTGTGTGTGTGTGTGTGTGTGTGTGTGTGTGTGTGTGTGTGTGTGTGTGTGTGTGTGTGCAGCAGATGGCTCTGTGTCCTCTGCCTGATGGTCCAGAGGAAAATAATAACTGCGTTGTCCCAGCCAGACCCAAATTAGTCTGCTGGATTCTCGCCCGTTACGCCCAAATATGGTCATTGGCCAGCTCCGCTCCATGCCAGGCCGGCATATGCAGCAGCATGGGAGAGACACACACACACAAACAAACACACCGTACGCATGACACAAGACACATGAAGAATTTTGGGCTGAAAATGGCGTCCACTCTCAAACTTTAAATGATCTCCCAGTTTGAAACCAGAACAAAGTTTTTGGACCCTCTTGAGATCTCTTTTTGTGTTGAAGAGATGTTCATCAGGTGTTTATCAGTCGTCAGCCGTATCAGTGTAATCCCGCCTCTCACCCAGTGACAGCTGGGATCGCCTCCAGCCCCCCTGCGACCCTGAACAGGAAAATTGGGTAGAGATAATAAGTGGATGGATTATTTTCATTCCTGGTATCCTACTGTTTCATATCGTTTTGTAACATATTCTGTCTCAATTTATCAATCAGATCAGCTTTTTCATTGTTTTTGTTTGTAAAAAAAAGTTTTTCATTTGCTCTCATACCTGCCGGGCGATCGACATCCGGCCTGAATTACACCACCCTCTCTCTCTCTCACCCTCTCTCTCTCTCTCTCCTTTTGTTCACTGGATTGAGTTGGCCTTCTTCCAGACGACTGGTGTGTGTGCATGTAAGCGTGTGTGTGTGTGTGTGTGTGTGTCAGAGGTGTGTGAAGCGATTTGTTTCTCTCTTTGTCATTTAAAGAGGCTCTCCAGTGTTCAGACCTGCTGACACACATGCACACTCACACAAACTTGTGCACACACACACACACACACACACACACACACACACACACACACACACACACACACAAGGTCATACTGCGCACACATGCACATGAAGCTTATTGTGCTCACTGCACACACACATGCACACACTCACACTCGCACACACACACACACACACACACACACACACACACACACACACACACACACACACACACACACACAGGGTCATTGGAAAGCGAGGCAGAGCCTGATCTCTGCTCTCTTTCACTCCAATCCACATTCCCTCAGAGAGAGCAGGCAATAATACACACACACACACACACACACACACACACACACACACCCTCACCCTCTCTCTCTCTCTCTCCTCCCAGTATTCCCAGTGGGCTGCTGCTGGTCTGCAGGGGAGCATTGAATGAATTAGCATTAAGCAGCTCCAGCAGACTGTCAGACTGCCGGCTGATCCCTCTCTCTGCTCGCTCGGCGCCCTCAAACCTTAAAACGCCTCCGTCAGTCCGCCCGTCACTCGTCTTCAAACACCGATGATCTTTTCACATCATTCCCTCCATAGGATACGGAAAATGTCCAGAAGAATGGGTCTGAACACCGCGTTGATGTGTCTGATTTTGTACAAAATCTTCGAATTATGTCCCGCGTGTTTTATCTG